CAGCTCTCCAATGAAGTGCGAAGACTTCTCCCACCGTCGAGAGGAAGCCCCAGATACCCGCTCCTACGTCCAACTAGCGGGGGGTTTTCAACCAGTAAACTGCCTCTCACGGTGTTTATTTACTGGAGTGATCTCTCCAGAGGCGGGTGTGGATAGAAGGAAGCCAGGAAGTGCCCAAGCAGCTGGCTTGTGAGACTGGTCTTCGTCTGGCATCTACCCATTGACCTTTCCGGCATGATTGGATCTACGGCTGTGAGAAGCCATCCTGTGTAGCTCGCAGGGTCATGGAGGCACGCAAGTCATTGAACCACGTCAAGGTGCAGTCTCGTTGTTTGGGACTCGTCAGCAGTGCGTACTATTTTTTCCGTCAGGAATCGAACCGCGAACATTTGGGTCGGGACTTCAAACCCTTACTCCTGAGCTACACGGCCGACGGTCATCACCTTGTGAGAATGGCTAAATCATTTTAAAGTATCAAGCTTGGATTAGCCCATTTGATTGTTCAAAGGCAACAGGCACTCTTGATGGTCTTAGGTGTGGATTTGACTCCTTGGGAGATCGTTAATTCCCGACGAGGTAATGCACTCAAATGCAATGAGGAATTAACGATCTCCCACGGAGTAAAACCCACACCCAAGACCATCAAGAGTGCCTGATGCTTCTCAAACAATCAAATGAGCTATTCCCAGTTTGATACCCTAAACCCGTAGTCCTCTAACCCAGACACTTGGGTAATACCGCTGTGAGGTCAAAATGTATCGGAATATTCTGATGTCAACTTATGTTCAAACATTTTATTTTCTACAAATGTTGATGTGGTAAAGCTTGGTTAAGGATCAATTTATGGCGGTCGCATGCTGCACCGCATGTTGATTGGATAGGGTTTAAACGGTGTGCTCGTATCGTCAAAAACCATTTGACACACATCGTACAGCCTCAGTGTTTCTGTATAACATGCAATACTCTTGTGAGTGAAACTCTCAAAGGAAAGATAAACTGTATATTGTTTTCAATCTAAAAGCCATCGAATAAATCAAGTGATACCACAAAAGAGTAAATGTTTATCGTTCCGTATCTTCACTTGCAGTGAACTCTGCTCACGAGAGGTGGATACAATAACAGTTCGAAGATAATAAACACCGTTCAAAAAAGACAGTTCGTTTGGTACACCTTTTTCCATCAAGCTTCAGACAAAACCCGTAATTCTTGAGCCTCGACCGTGGTAATTATGGTAAATGTTGCAGCGTTAATAAACTGACGATATTAATGGAGTGTATTTTTTTGACTGGTGTCTATTATCCTTGGACTGTTAATGTATCAACCTCTAGTGAATAGAGTTCACCTCAAAAAAGGTAAATGGTCTTCAAACGAAGACCTGGCATGAAGGTATGAAAAAGCTCAAAAAGGTCGCGTTAGACCTCCTGGATGGGAACCTTGGGGTCATTGTAGTCCACAGTTAGAGACATTGCGTGATCTGGCTATGTCGTCAATAGTGGCGCTCGTTCATCTGCTCATTCTCCCTGCAACCTTAGTCTATATGAGTTCTCTGTTCTCACTTTGACTCTGCTCTTGATATTCAAATCTTCCATCCAAACGAGCAGCCAAAAGACAGTAAGCAAAGCCGCTGCAGAAAGCTGCACGGTAAATGGCAGTACAAACTGAAATGGGACCCTAAATCGAACAGCCACCCAATTAAAAGCCAACATTGTGGATACCGTTTGACGGGTGGTGGCGCAGTGGTTTAGTCGCTGTCACTGTCGTGCTTTGGACCCTATGGTCCGAGGTTCGAGCCCCGTCACCGCCACTCAACTTTNATACCACGCCTAACCTATCGGGGCCTTACGTGGTTTACCACTCCAAGTCCCGGGACTTAGGTTACCGGGTACGAGCACTGAACAGCTGATCCTCGTGATTATGGGGTTCACCCATCATCGTCATCACACAAAGTGTGTAATAAAACAATGCGTTCGACAGTATTTCGTCTACGACGAGGTTGAACAGAAATGGAGAGATAGGGCACTCATGACTAATACCGTTGTTTGTTTCGAACCATGTGTTTAGCTAGCCTCGACCCTTGGTTCTGCCAGAAGTAGATGAGTACCGAGACCTTAGAAGATTTACATAGTTCTGTGGTATTCCCGTGCCAGTAAGTCAACCCACTAGGGCTTCGCGATCAAGTGAATCGAAAGCTTCATTTAGGGCAAGGAATTCTACGATCGTTGCACGACAATGCGTGTGGCGTAACTTGAGGACTTGACGCAACGTGACCGAAACAACCGCTACCTGGCGGCCATTCTGATTTTTGTTAGCGAATATTCGTCTCTTAAGGGCATCAGGCGGCTCAGTATCCCAGAAGCTGAAACCTTCGTGATGATTGAACCGGAATTTATCCTGCAGTGGTACTGCGTTCCCCCTCCAAGAACAGAACAATTCATGATTCAACCCAGGATAATGGGACACACTTGCGACCAAATGGTGAGTAAACTAGTAATGCACTCGACAGGAAAGTAATTGTACGATGCAATAATACAGATTGAAACAAGGAGCAAAAACGGTTGTAAATGAAAGACGAGTCAAACAAAGGCTCACATGTCCGAGCAGTAGCTCACTGATCACTATCTACTGCAGTTAATGCAATGGGCAGCGCAGTCCTGATTATCGTGCGCGACGAAGGATGCAGTATTTCTGATTTGAGTTCGTTAGAGTTTTATCGATGGGTGCTGCTAGGTGGTGCCACTACTGAGCAGAACGATTAGGATTCCCAACCCGCAGCGTTTAGTACCAACAAGAACCTGACCGCAAGGCAGTCGGTAAGGCGAAATGGAGGCCCATTCACTGGTGCCAAAACCTCAAAATGGAGGACCAGGAAACTGGACTTTGTCTGACCCCTATCTTACAGGTGTAATTAGACCTTCGGGTTAATACAAACTAGTTTGTGGAGTCCGTTTTGTCACAGAGGTTACGAGGAAAATAGGAAGTGATCCCTTCCGGATAATAGACTTACAGATTGACGAATCTGACGGTGTCTGTGGATTCACCAGTAAAGTATGAGGAAATAAACCGCAATCGCGTGATCAAGAATCACAAGCCATCATCGGACCGGAGAAGTCACAAAGGATTTGATTACCACTTGTGGGATTAGAAGTGACTTACCTTGTGACGATCGGATCGGCTGCATGATTTGGACCCCATCGCCCCAAAGCTCCTCGACCGGTGATACCTGTACGACCGCGGGGATTCAGGGGGAGACCGCGTTCGTTCAGTTGATAGACGCCCGTAAAACTGGTTCGATCCACTTTTCCGTCAAGTTGATTGAATTTTAAAACAATGCCTTTTTCGTGTCTGATTTTGAAATCACAAGCAAGGATTTTATTAGATTAGCGTGAATACAGAAATTTAAATCAGCCAAGTAAAATACCAAAAACGAACTGATCAACCTCTTTCCGGGATACAACGTGCTCAGGCACGGTTCCTGACCACCTAACACAAATGCACATATTTTGTGTACATCGTGTGGTTGGCAGCAATCGGTAAAGTTCGCTTCACTGTAATTTGAAAGTTAATAATAATAATAATAATAATAATAATAATAATAATAGAATACGCACTCCGTGTCATATAGTTCTGCTCTTCTGCTCAAACCAGGAGACTGATTACATGAGCAGCTCAAGTTTGCGTCTGATTCTTATACGCGATTTACAAGAGTTCAGCAAATGTTGCGTAAATACGATACAAAACATAAACCATGGATTGCCAAAATACCGCCGGTATTGTCGGAGGTAGGTGTTCCAATGATTAGGTTTTACTGCTCCTATCAAAATGCCTCTCAACGACCTATAAAAGATTTCGCCGGGGTAGCCACAATCATCGCCTTTCGTGGTATTACCACAGAATTGAGAGAGAAAACCTATAATTTCCGGAGCCATGACTGGACTGACGAGCCAATGGCAGCTAATTCGTTCAGGGAACTTAACACAAGTTGAGTTTAAGCCACCCAAGATAATAATAATAATTCACAGCATTACTTACTCAATATCTGGATCGGCCCAAACTTTTCCATGCACTTTTGAATGTGTATAACTGATTGGTTTATAATCATCCCAGCGCACACGCCAGTCAACCCGATCGTCCGGCACGACCGCACGTTGTACACCATCCGCACGCGGATAGGCAGCGTTACGGCATTTGGAATGAAGTGATGCGGATGCGGACATTTTCGAAAATGTAAACAGCTAAAGTAATAGAGAAGATAATACAATTTATGACTTACACGAGGCAGCAATAAGCAAATGAGTGAAACCGAAAACGGAACGAATAGCCAAATCTAGGTTGGAGGCAAGTAATCGAAAGTTAATGAACAAGGAACGCATAAACGGAAAAATCACGCGAGAATCTTGTAAGTTACTAAAACACGGCATCAGAATATAAACCCCCGCCATGTTCTGTAACAATGGTTTCCTTCGCATCAGTTCGTTAACCGCGCCTATGATAAGGAGTGTCAAATCCAAATCCCCGAAGAATGTCGAACTACCTCAAGTTAATCTAAGAAGCCATGAAAACATCATCGATTCGACAAAATATCCCGCCACAATCGAAACACGAACTGCAGACGTCCCGCTTTATTCATAGAATCACTCCTTTGGATGCCGATTAAGACAATAAGTGCAAGATAGGCGAATGTTAAGAGGTATATTCAATAACGTGATTTTAAGTTTTTTTATTACACACCTAAGTGTGATAAACAGCAGACGGGGAATGCCCCATAGTCACGATGACCTGCTGTTCAATGATGGAGACCCGTCACCTAAGCCCAGGGAATTAAGTGGCGAACCACATAAGGCCCCGATAGGTTAGACGTGGTAGTGAACCGGACGACAGCAAAGCTGCCTACCACCAAGGGCTCCAGCTTGATGAGATTAGTTTCCATCACTACAAAATCTACTGAATGAACCAATGGTGAGCCGGATTCCGATGGTATACACCCTAGCATTGTGAAACCTCTAGCCCAAATCTTAGCTGTTTCAAAAATTACTTGAGATCATGCTTCCGATCGACTGGAAAACTGCCGTTTTGATGGCTTTAGACAAGCGCGGAAGTAGAAAAAATGTGCAACTACCGACCAATCAGCTTTACGAGTATTCCATGCAAGGAAAATTCAATCCGAACCCAAGTCTGAAACCACCTCCAATAGCATGCGCTACTAAGTGAGCTCCGCACGAGTTCATGGAAAACAGTTCGTGCCTGATTGATCTGTTGTCGCACCTGGACGGTAGATGAAGGTCAAATAATTAAGGTATGATACCCAGATTTAAATTAGGCTTTTGATTTAGTATATCAAAGATTACGACTATATAAGCCAGCTATAGGTGGAATAATAAGAACATTATTCAAATGGATGACAGAGTTCTCGACTAGCCGGACATTAATTGTTAGAGAAAGACTCCGAAACTGGTTCTTTGGAGACACTGAAGGATATAAGCAGCGAACCGGAAGCAGTGTCATTCTTGTTCTCATTTCTTATCAGGCCAGAATGCCTTGGGATGGGTACCTGGCAATATTCAGCCCACATGCAAATCATAGAGCGTTTTTCTTTGGTAAAGATTGTTGTACCATGATTTGTTTGGCTCACAGTCTGTCTTTAGACGTGTGTGAAATATATAAATGTTTATTGATGACCTTCCTTCAACTTCAAGTCCTATTCACGCCTTTGCCGATGACGCTACCCTACACTGTTCTCCATCCTATTCCTATTTGCGCATCGCTAACTCCAGGATTACTGACGACCCCTCCTCCCTTAGTTTCTCATATAATTCTGATCTGGGCCTTATTTCTGCTTGCGGCTGTCGCAACCATGTTCTCTTCAATGCCAGTAAAACTTCCCTAATGTCCGTTTCCCTTAAGCAGGTATATTTCTCCCATCCTTGAATTTCAACTCGAACATTCGCCACTTCACAGAAGTATGGAACCTATTGGGTCTTTCCTTATCTTATTTTCTTTCNTCATGGTCACCTTATATTTGTCTACTTGTTTCCTGAGCTGCGCGCCAATCGGCTTCCTCCTCCGCGCCAGACGTTTCTTCACCCTCATTCACCTCCTCTCGTTTTACAAAGCTCACATTCGTTTTACACTTGAAGAGTGCAGTCATGTGTGGAGTGGAGCTTCGCCCACCTCTTTCTCTTCTTGATTGGGTTCGACGTAAGGCCATCCGTCTCACCAACGACCCATCCCCAACATGCAACTTAAAGTCACTAGCTCACCGTCGGCCATTCGCTTCGTTATCCTTATTCTATAGATAATACTTTAGATTTGGCTCAAATGAACTTTCCGCATCTGTCCCTCTCCCGCTTGTTCTTCCTCGTAGATCCCGCGCACAAGCGGTTAGCCACTCATGCCAAGTGACTATCCCCAGGTGTTACATTTCTAACCTTCAATCATCTTCTTTCCCAATAACAGCACGATTGTGGAACATTCTCCCCTCTTCGGCCTTCCCTCCAACGCACAGCATCCTTGTTTTTAAACGCAGAACCAATAAGCTGGTGCTAGCTTGAATGCTTCCCATACTTTCCCACTTACAGTATATCTTTGAATCACAGGGTTTATCCCTTTTACTGTATTTACTTTCGTGTAATACAAACCAATGGTTAGAGACACTGAGTGATGTGGCTGAGAGTGGTGAACAGTGGCAGTCGCGCATCTTCTCAGTTTGTTTGCAGCCATAGTCTATTAGAGTTCTCAATTTTTTCTTCGACTCTGCTTTCGACCTTCGTGTCCTTCCCCTACTGTTTACCTAACTGGACAGCCAAAAGACNCGCACATGAAAGTGCATGGTTAATGGTTGTGCAAACCGAAAACAGAAACGAGCTTTAACTCCTGAAACAACGTTCTGGATTGAACCTGCGAGCACAGTTTAGCAACAGGACGTATCAAAAGTGTCTCGAAGACAAGGCGGTGAGTTGTTTTCTCCCATTCTACATTTGCGGATAGGAGAAGCCGAACAATTGCATAGATGGACACATTCGTGAACACACCGATGTAAATCTGGATGTCCGATTGGCCGAGGCCACTATCGTTTTTATGCAACCTGACCTGAACCGCCCTATCGGCAGATATATCTACTATCGTAGGCGCCGGGTTAGGTGATCCGAGAGAGGGTGTGTCATGTATTACAATCTTTGTCTATTGCACCTTGCTGTATTCATAATGTTTCTCTTTTCTCTTTTCAGATTGTATGCCTGCGTTGTTAGATGAATAAAGCCTTACATCTCCAGGCTCTCAGTCTTCTCTCTCTCTCTCTCTCTCGAGCAACTACCGACTGTTGTCATCTCGTATTCAGAACATAACAGGGCGCACCTAGAAAACAGATACCTCTACCTACAACGATTTTAAGTTAGATCTAGATAATTCTTTCATAAAAGTTGTCACTATGTAGGATACAAAATATTGGAGTAATTGGAATGCATGCGTGGATAAGTCGCAGAGGATTTGGTCAAATGATCAGTCTTGTACGTTTTACATGGGCCGGATAATATGAACAAGGGCATTTATATCAAAAAACACGGAGGGTGAAGCATGAGGATGAGGCTGGATCTGGAGAACGGAGGGAGATGACTGAAGTAGGATCTTGTATGCT